TACGCTCAGTGTAGGAGTATAAGGTTCCTGTAGCAACGGTCAGGCCCATCACGCGCAGAAGACCGTACACTCTCCGGCACGGACGGTGACCGACAGGAGACGAAAGGACCACATATTGGACACTATGAAACAGTTTGATGGCTGACTGCCGAACAGATCATAGACTATCAAACCGTGTACGATGTTCAAACTATCATTGAGACCCAGCTACCTGAGAGCATGTATTGCACGATAGGGAAGCGTGCGAATCAAAGGCATGAATACGACAATAGACGTGTAGAACGCCGGGCGCTTCACCAAAACCCGTACAGAACGGGGAAGGCGCCGACTTCAGTACCGGGAGTTAGAACTGTTAGCGTTTACCCTCAAGCACTGACTTCTCAACGCCACGTGAAACAAGGAATACTGTTGCCGAGGCGATTTAACTCAACTTGTGACTTTTGCAAGGTTTCACTATGTGCTATGCATGTGTTCGTATCATGTGTTCACGAACCAATGACACATTGTCTTTTAACTATGTTTTATCCGCATTTGCCTGCATGTTTGATTTACCTCCATAGTTCTTTCCTTGATTTGAAGTTGAATGACTTGCGCATCACTACTCACACCTTTTCATTGGCCGCAGCATATGATCGGCCATAACTTGACACGGTTCTAATATTTCACCTCACATGACCCTGATCTGGAATCACCAAAAAAAGTTCACGAGGATTGATAAAATTAATGATAAATCCTTTCGCACTGAGGCAAGGCTTTTAGTGAAGGTAACAAAATACCATGGATGTGTGGCGTCTAGCGCCAGGTCATCGGGTGTTAGGAACTGACGCGGTAGGCAGTTGTTGGAGAAGCAAAACATTGCGTAAATCTTGGGACTAAGCACCAGCTAGTTGCATACATACATATATATATATATATATATATATATATATATATATATATATACGTCCTATATGTGGTTACGTACTACATAACTGCAATCTAGCTGTATATGTCGGAATGCCCACGTGCTCTGGGATCTGCAGCCACAAACACTGACAGCTTACACGCATCTCAAAGTTAAGTAATGCCTTGCGCGCTAACTATAATCATCAGTGAAGTACCCGAGTCACGTAGTGATCATCACTTCGGACGCCACCTGCAGAGCTGATTGCGTGGCTGTTTTCTGTTGCTTCGGGGGGCCCTCAGGCAGGCGTGAAAGCAGCGTCGGGCTTACAAACTGTTACCAAACAAGCATGCATAACGCAGCATCCAGTCGTTCGGCGCCCCACATCATAAGCAGAGAAACTTTTGTGTCTGCTCGCTGCAGGCACATAGCCAATATTTTGCCGAGGATGCGAAGGGCAAAGTTTGTCGGAGGAGCCCCCCAACCTGCACGGCCTACGGTTTCGTAATAGGGGTCTCACAGTTTTTCCACGGGACCAGGCGATGTCTCTTTGGGCCCCTGGATTCGTAGCTGTTATCTATTAAGGCCCACCCATGCTCTGCGGGGCCCCCCGTTCTGAACAACAAAGGCTTCTTGACCGAGGCAGGTTTCGCAGGTGCTGGTGGAAACCCGGTGGAAAGCTGAGTAATTGTGGTTGCATTTTAATTCATTAACGAAGTTACCTATAAAATATAGATTTAGGCACAATTCGGGCGCTGGAAGGAATGGGGTTTTTAAGTAAGGGAGCATCACCCGTTCGACCCATGTTAACATCCTTGGTCTGTTGGGTCGTGTTGTGTTGTGCTGGGCTGCATGGCAAACAACTGCGTCTATCGTGGAGCTTACTTAGCCGGCTGAAGGGCTCACCAGTCTCGGCAGTGGACGTGGCCACACGGTGGAGTCGCAGCCTATTGAAGCCCTCTGTTCAGCCCACGTTGGATGAATCTTCGCTTACTGTTTGAATTTGATCGCTGTTGTTTGCAAAAATTTCAATGTTGACAGGTATTGTTATGGCTAAATTTAACTTGTTAACCATCATCATCTTACGAAGGAATTTTAGAAATAAACACGACCAGGGAAACGCGAGTTTGCTTTCTCCGCCCCTCCACCATACTCATTTGAAACTATGGTGAGCAAAGCACCGGGATGGACGCGCTTTACTAAAGTGATGCGTTTTATGCTAACAGGATGGGCCATATTTCCACGCAGCGCTTACCTATTCCCAAATGCACGTATCCAAGCCGGGGATAGTTATGAAGGAAATCACGGAACTGCTCATATTTGGTTCCCGCCTTACGAACACCTGTACGATAAAATGCCTAGCTTTTGAGATATTCGTATTCACGATTGCTTTGCGATTCCGGACTGCGAAAGGCAACTCCATGAACTGCAGGAGGAAATACAGATTTTGCTGTTTTTTCTCGGAAGAACAAACCTTATCTGTTTGTCATTGGTGAGAAAGCTCCGCTGCGTGCTTATTTCGTAGCATGCCTCACAGTACCACTCTGGTCAGATTGCATTTTACCCAAGGTCAGGTCAAATGTATTACTTAGGTCGCGTCAGGCATCGAAGTCATTGCGGCAATGACATGAATAATGCATTCCCGGTTGGCAGGCTTGCAAATACAAAGCGTGTGATCGATTTGGTCGCACTCAGTTAATTAACACGTCCCAGCAGTACATGCTGGATAAGAGACAGAAGCGGGCCCGTGTCAGAGAGAAGGGCACAGACGTTACCAGCTTTTTAGGGAGGTGCATGCGACTTGTGTAGCCCAGTCCATTTTTATCGCCCGATATAGCTATAACCACGTCATCGTTGCCACCTCCAGCATATTGCGAATGCTCGAAATGAAGTAAAGAAACACAAGATATCTGGGCTAATTTCTCCTCAAAGAGTCCAGTGACCGTCATACCTCTGCCACTACTCACGGCTGCAACATGGAACCTTGTGTTGATGCACTCGGTGCATCCATTGTCGAACACATCAATGTCGTTTCCGAAAAACCACCGATTATCTGTGCAGATCTCTAAAAAAAACTTCGCGCAATCATGGTTTAATAGGAAGTAAATCTAGACTTAGTCTAAAAAATTGGGATGGAATATCACTCGGGTACAGGAAATTTCAAAGAATCATCTCATTTTGTTCCAGAGCTCTCATGGAAAGTTGCAGTGATAGAGTTCCACTTCTGCCCCTGTCGCACAGGCCGAGGGCACCAGAGGCAGACCAGGGGCAGCCAAGTCCTTATTTTTAGAGATTATCCTTAACAAATGGCGAGAGAGAGAGAG